TCAATATAAACGGAGCGGGATAGGACGAGGCAACCTTCCCCCATTTCTGCCCCCTGCACGAGTTTTCACTCCTAAAACCAGCCCCCCAGCCCAAAACCCTATAACTGGCCCCAAAAACCGTTTCAAACCGGGTGGAGTGGGTTGTTTTGCCATCCTATACTTTCCAACTGAAACATTGTCAAATCTTGGTAAGAAGGCCACAAATTACTTTTCAACTGAAGTGTTGTGAAGTCTCATATAAGGAACAAGTGTTAGTGACTCTGCTCATATATATATATTACTACTTACCAAAATAAAAACAATGTTAGAGCAGCTTTAAGCCCTCAAGCTGCCTATAATTCACCCTTTTACACTTAACATAAAGTGTTGGTCCAATCCAAGCATATATGTTTTTTTACTTATTCTTTGGGTACGTGTGCAAGACCAACTAAGATGAATTATAAATCATGTCTTATTAAACAAGGTACAAGTGAATTCAAGACTCAAAATCACAAATTTGAGATTATAAAAACACGTGTCTCATTAAGCACAAGGCTGCATCTTCTGCCTAATCTCCTGCGTCGTGTCTTGTGAACAAAGACAAACTTATATCAGTCTACATATTGACATCAATTACATAAAAAACTAATTCAACTTCTATGGAGCATCTAAAAGGACTTTAACCACGTAATAATACACAAAATACAGTATCAATTTGATCCATCCTAAACCCAAAGTTCTAAACTGGTCAAAATAGTAAAAGTTATAGCCAGTTTTCACTAAACCTGCTTCAATTATACCTTTTCAAGATTCCATATGATTTTGCTAGAATGTTTCATTTGACTAGAATACCTTACAACTTTTTCTTCTTTTTTTTTTCCTAGTCGAAAATCGAAATACATAAAAACTAATTACACTAAACTAATAAATAGTATATGGTTAGCAACAGCAACAGAAGCATAAGATCCATGAGAAAGATTTTATCTATATGTAAAGATCATGCAGAAAGAAATAAATATGCTGATAGATTCTTATGTAAATGCATGCAGAAGAGAGGCATGACAACAACTTTTCAATGTGGTATTTTCTGGGGAGAATGGATGTTTGGTCAACGAGTGCGCGTGTGAGTGACTGAATCAGAGGGCACACGGCATGGCATGGTCCATAACCTAGGCCAGGTGCCATCCCATTTTTGGTTGAACATATGAAGGATGGTTGGACAGCAGCAAAGTTAGGTTTCCTACCTGTAACCACACCAGAATTAAAGACCCTTCCCTGCATGCCAGGCAATCAATGGAAAATAAAGTATTTCAATGAATGAACAACTCCTCAACTATACCCAAGCCAAGTTAGTCATATTGTTTAAAGTGACTACTCTTCACACTTGTAAGTCAAAACACAAGTAAGATTGCATCAACACATATATATATATGTGTGTGTGCGTGCGTGTGTGTGTGTGTGTTTATATGTAATACAAATATAAGTTCTATGTTTATATCTTAAAAATAATTGCTGGAAAGCGTATTTTCTGAAAGCTATTTTATGTCAAAAACAACAAAAATAAGAAATTTAGCGATTAGTTCATAACAGCCCAATCTGTGAGATAAGTCCAACAGCCAGATCAAGCAAATCTGGTTTTAGTCTAATGCCATAAACGTTTTATATAATTCGACTGCATTATCGAAAAGGAAAATTCTGAACACATCCGTTGCTAAACTATTTGTTATAGAAAAGAACATTCTTAACTCTCTTTTCTTTACTTTTTTTTCCCTTTTTTCTTTTTCATTTCTCTTTTTTTCCTACACAAAAGATTAACCTAAGTCTGTTCAAGGCAGCTGTATAGTGTATACATCACAAATTGGGTGTCTCTGGTGGATTCAGACTTAACCCAAGTTCTTGGATGGGGTTTAGATTTAACCCAGGCTATTCCCTTTCAACCCAAGCCCAACCCAGTCCAACCTTCAACCAGAATGTCCGAGCCCGATCTCAACTTCAAACAGATTTGAACCCAGCCCAACCTCAACCGGAATGTCCGAGCCCAATCTCATCTTCAAACAGATTTGAACCCAGTCCAACCTTTAACCAGAATGTCCGAACCCGAGATCAACTTCAAATGAGCACGAATTGAATATCATATTGGCTTCAAACTGACAGAAGTCCGATGATTATTTTACCTCAAAATCTCAAAGAACCTCTCAATACAATAATTCTAACAGAAAGATGAAGAAATAAAATCTAATGGAAATTTTGTAAGGATCATGATTGACTCAAGTTGGTAAATTCGTATCCCGTTCAACTTGCCAGATAATGTAAGCCCAACCCAAATTAATCACGGTACATCTTTTGTGAAACTGCATCCTAAATTCCTTAATGCCAAAGGACCCCTTTCTGTGGTGATCAAATGGTAAGAATGCAATGCATTTCATCTCATTTCTTGCATTAAAAACACTGCTGTTAACAACTAATTTGTACTAAAACCGCTGGGTTGATGCAGCAAGAGCACTTTTAATTTCAGAATAGCATTACTATTGCACATTAACAACATCACGACATTGTTTTTCTGAAAATGTTTCAGCCTCATATTATTGCCACTTTTTCCAAAATTCATCGACTGAATGTATTACTTGAGAACAAACTGAAAAAACAGCTTATGCATCTTGATTAACGACTCAGCAAAGTGGGAGGAAATAAAAAAAGTAGACGGTTTGCTATTAAGTTATATAGACAGAACAACAAAAATGCTCACCAATTGACCATGAAAGAGCTGAATTTCAAATTTAGAAAAAGATAATAAATTCCAAAAAAAGGATAACGCAGAGCTCTTTGGTCTCTTCAGCAGTGACATAGCTCCTGTGAAACAGAAATATCTTGAAACTGCTCCCCCCTAGATGGGGCTCACATAGTTGGCAAATCTACCTGTCATCAATTGAAAATCAAATATAATATTGAGTTGCAATTTCTCAGTTGCCGGTAACAAATTCTTAAATTAATTTGAAAATGTGAAGCTAAATTCAGTACGTGCAGCAGATACCATCACTATTTTTTTTTCACCTATTGGAAACTCACACACGCTCTTTGCGACTATGGAGACTTGAACCCTCGACCTTGTACCTTTGGAAGGTGAAGAAGAACCACTAGGATGCAGCCCCTGGTGGTGATTGTCACTACTTTATACAGCATCAATTTTAGAAAGAAAAAAAAAAAAAAAATTGCAAATCTCGCAAATTGGAAATTTGGAATTTTATATTTTTTGTTTCAGTATAAGGTATGTTGTTTTTATGTGTATAACTTTTTTCTAAATTATATTATCTTACAGGCCTTACATTCTTGGCTCTTTATATATAAACACACACACACACATATACAGATTGGAGCTGCTAGTATTATTAACCTTTATGTCGTCTGTGTTTAATTAAGAAGATGGGGCATTATGGTCTAGTTTAGTTTGGGCTTTGTTATAGGGTTTGGTACCGCATTTTTAGGTCTTGTTCAGCTTTTAGATTATGTTTTATACTTTAACTTGAATCTAAAGACGGTCAAGAAAACTGGTCTACCCTTTGTCCTAGTGGCTCTGGGTCTTCACTCCAAGCCCTAGGTCAAGGTTTCGAGATTGGTAGACTGAAAAGAAAGGGGGAAAAAAAAAAGACAGTCAAAGAAAGATGTCTTCAATTTTGCTTGATTTGTATGGAGTTCCGGTGTCTGCCCTTCGAGGCCACCTTTTTTCTTTTATAAAAAATGTAAGAAAAAATAATTAACACTACATATGTACGCAGTTAAATCTCATAGAGGACTCAAACATTGAAAGTTCTGGTTTCATGTGGAAATGAAGTTACTACTAGCAAAAATAAGAATGCCACCACTGACATAGCACAGGCACATTCATACACCAAAGAGAACTTCAACTAAAAAATGATGGAAAGAAAACAATCCATCTTGAACAAAGAAGAAACAAGATTTACTCATAGCTCAACAATTTAACAGGAAATCCAGAACACTGATAGAAAAATAAAACGATAAATACTCTAATAAAAGCAAAAACTTTCCAAAATCAAACATGCAACACATTTTCAATACACGCATGTGTGTATTTATAGAAAGAGAGAAAAGAAGAGAGCGTTACTTTGCGTATACTTGTTGACTGCGGTAGGAAGCTTGGAGACAAGGCAAGCAGAAGCAGTGGCACTGTGAATAGGAAGCAGAGAACTCAATTCTCGACGAAACCTTCAAATTACAAAGTTGCATGATATTAGGTCAAACAAAACCACTTAACACATAATAAATATGAACACACACATAGAGAGAGAGAGAGAGAGAGATTGCAGAGGAAAAATGGAGAAAGAAGAGTGGGCTACCTAGAAAGATGAGGAGAGATTCGAGTCTGACGAAGCGTGAAAATGGAAGGAGGTGAATTAGAGAATTTAGCTGATGTTTGCGTTGTTGTTGTTCTCCAGATTGTACGCAAGAAAGTGGATCTTCTGGCAATCGATGTTGCCATTTCTCTTCTCTCACTTTCTTAAACCCTAAAAACCCCGTCTTTTAAACCTAATTGACCGATTTTATAAACATTTTGGGAAATTTGAAGTGTGGATGCTAAACGATTTGGGCCGGGCTGGTCCGACTAGTCCGAGATCGATTTAGGCCTGCCTAGTCATAGTATTAAAATATATTACATAATACAATAATTCAACGCGATCTTATATAATGGCGTTTTATAATTAACCAAAATTTTATAAGCATAATAAAATGGTCGTATCAAGATTATTAATTGATTCCCTTAACGTTGGAATTTTTTTTCTCGGAAAAAAAAAAAAAATAAAATAAAAATATTGGATTGAATTAATTAGTGAGTGATTCATTACTCTAGGGAATAGGGTCATTGGACAATAGTAAAGAGTCTTATCTCACAATTTGGAGGTCGAGAGTTGAAATTTCCAAGAAAATTTTTCACATTTCAGTATTTCGATGCATGTGTTATTAATCATTTAGTCTTAATTCTTTGTTGAAATGAGGACAAAGCAGCGTACAACAAACTCAGCATTTTGCATATAACGCCAAGTCCTAGTATGTTTTGCATACAGTTACAATTAATTAAGTCAAAACCAACAGAAAAATCATGATTCCTGAGCTAGCAATGGGTTAAAATGGTAAATGAAAGTTCTTTAGAAGCTTTAACCCTTTCTTGTAAACTTCTGAAGACTAAGTGGCCTTGTGCCAAATTCAAACTTTGTACAAACTGTAAAGTGTTTTGCAGAACCATTCTGGAAATACCTTCTCGCCAGTTAATTTCAGATCCATAATTACAGTTAAAACTCTTCATCACCCAGTGTCGATTTCGTAATGGGTATTGACCACCTCCCCAGATGAGCAGTATAATTAATACATCGGATAACAGCTCTTCCAGCAGGTCCATCAGGGAAGTCGACGACACTGATGCTACCCGAATCAAGATGACATGATCCTAACCATTCTTTTGTAAGATTTAGGCCGTGTCCCATCAATGCAATGTGTACAGCAGGATGGCCAACTACGACGACAACACCTTGTTGCTCAGATACTTTCGATAGCTCATCCAACACAGATTTCCAGGCCTTCCCTGACTGATCCCACAATGCCATCATTTTTCCATCATGGATTCCATTCAACAATCCAGTACCGGTACCAAATGCATCCTGTTCAAGAAAAAAGAAACAACAATAAGATGCAAACACTCCACAGAGAGAAGACGTGTAGCTTTAGTGGCAAGCCTCCAGGAAATATCAAACACTAAATGTGTTTAGCTGCTATGTATAATGGAAAAGAACAACCTTTCAGACAAACAACAATTGTTCCAGTTTCAAATATTTTTTTAATTCATTTGATTTTTTAGTTTTATTTTGCTTTCTGTAAAACCAATTCCTGATTATTTTAAGATTCTATTTAAATCTATTTCCCTCCGTCTTCTTGGTGACCAAAAATCATTAATAAGTTTCGTAGTAATTACATCTGTTGCCTTCTTTGATTGTTGAAGGGTGTTCTCAACATTTAGGTCTTCCATTTGCTTCATTTCCACATAGCGTGGCACACAATCAGCACCCAAGCAATCTGCAGCTTCTTGAACCTATCAGCATGTCAGCCAATTCAGCTCAATTTTTAAAGGAAATTAAATGCTCTATTGAAAGAGAATACGAATCACTACTCGTGGAGAAGAACATTGGGAATGGACTTACTTTGGAGATCATCTCTGCTGTCTCAAGTGAGGCCACTTTAGAGCTGCTCACTATAGTTGTTACCTTCAAATCAAGAAGTAACTCTGCAGTTTTCTGGGACTGTCATGCATCCAAGAAACAGAATCAGATCATACATCCTCAATAATCTTGACGGTTTAATATGGAAAAAAGAAAAACACCTGTATAATCCCAAGCATGTTCAATGGCCTGTCCCCAGAAAAAGGTATACTAGTCTGTGTCACCAGATGTAGAATTTCAACAAGTTGTTAGATTACTCTCTCTCTCTCTAAGATCAATTGCAAGAATCGTAAAAATATGACCCAAATTGTTAGCCAGAAGGCCCAGAACGTTCAACACCAGCAACTACGGGAATAAAAAAAATTCAACAACAGCAGAGATCAAAAAATTAAAGTTGCTGGCTTGCTTACAGCAATCAAAGGAGTGAATGCAATAAACAAACCACCAACTGTTACTTAATCATTGGTTTCATACCTCTGAATCGGTTTGTGAGGAGCCATGACAGACAAGTATGATCCTCTTACTGGCTTTTCTACCTCCAGAACTTCCAGCAGAAATAGGTGAACTTGGGGTCTGCATCAACAAAATTTAACTTATGGCATAAACTTGAAAGCAAACTAAAAGACGGGAAAAATTAAAGTTCACCCTAACAAATAAAAAAGATCAATAAAAAGCCTAAAACCAGAAAAGGGCACCTCAATATTGAACGACAGAGACAAACCATTAAGTTGATTAAGTAGTTATTCGGTCAAGGTCCCCGACTCCCCGAGGATGCTGGAAGGGGGACTAAATTATAGACCTTCTTTTTGGAATTATTTTCACAAATTGACTACCCTAAGACTTGAACTGCGTTTTTACAATTGAAAACCTACATATTTGTCACTGCACCAAGCAATTCCTCCCTCCTCCCCCATTTTTTATTTGACAAGTACACCAAGCAATGGCCCCTCCTTATGAGAATCTATGTCATACAAATATTCCCAACATTAATCTTTCTGGAACTTGTCATCCAGATTGAAATCTATTGTTTTTAATCTTATCAACTTTATGCAAATAAATGTATTTTAACTTGTTTGTTTGGCTGTGAGGCAGCTTTAGAAAATGGTAAAACCCACAGTACAGCCCAAGTTTCATGCAAAGACTGGTACACTATCAAGCTATTTAGTTCCATCTTATGTTTCAACCTATCTATTTGAATCAAACAAATAAAGTTGATTACAAATACTTTTGCCTCTGAAGTGCTGTTCCCTCTTCTTTCATGCACTCCATGTATTGAATTTGAAATCCATCCAATGAATAAATAAAAGTCTTCCTCTATCTATGACAGGTCAATGTATCATAAAAATGGAAATAAAAGGAGACAAAAAGAAAATGAAAAATGTTGGATCATCACGCCCTTCTTGAGTCCAGCCCAAACAACCTTGTCAATCAATTCAACCATGTGTATGGCAAGCAAGTTACAAAAAACCAAAATTTTTTCTGATCGATAGATTGAATCCTTTAAGTATGAACAGGTTAGGTACCTGATTTAATCGATTGAGACATATATATGGAGACCCACCCTCAGGTCGTGGGGTGAAATCCAGCACACTCACACCACAATTGCTCTGAAGTAAAATTCTGAAATACTCGGTGCCCAGTCCTGATTGGTGGAAAGAAAAAATAAAACGAAAATAAAAGAAAATTACTTTCAAAATTAAAATCCAAAAATTAAGACTTTAAATTACCACAGGAGGAGGAAATAGTACCAATGGCTGTAGCAACAAGAGCTTGATTAACAGCATTATGAGCAACCACAAGAACAGACCTGCTTTCATGGGTTAGGATTTTAGTCCAGCAGCTTCTAGCACGTGACCATAACTCCCTCACTGGATAATGACCATCAATACTGAAATTTGCCGCATCTGTTTGCCACTGATAAAAAGCCTCACCAAACTTTGCTTTTCCTTCATGCTTTAGGAGACCCTAAAGTCAATAATGGAATCCGCAGCCATTAAGATATCTTTGGTTGGGATATTATAAATACCTATATTCAAGCATCATTAAGTAAATTTAACAAAAGAGCATCAATAATAAAAGAAATGCTGTGAATTAAAACTAACTTGAAATGAATAAAGGTCAATTTCCCTCATGTCAGATTCAGTAATGATCTCCTCCTCACGAGAACCCCATATTATTTCGGCCGTTCTCTTTGATCTAATCAATGGACTGAAACATACAACCAACCATCGTCAATTGGTTCTTTATTGACTCCATCAAAGAATCCATTAAATATATAATGCTTGAGATATAAAGCTTCATGATCAAAATTACAATATATGATAATAGTGCATTTGGGTGTCGCATAAAAAATGGATTGGTTTATTTTGTTTTGCAGAGTCTCAGAATATGCAGATTCATTTCTGAGAATAGTGACACAACATATTAAGAACCATCACCACAAATTGTTACTAACTACTAGGCTCCCATTTTCAGAAATCGACCATCCCGGGAGACAGATCTGTGCCCTTGAGATGTCATCTTTTGGGTACTTCAGATGCTATGGGAATTCTGTGTAGCCATTCAAAGTCCACGGAAAGTCCAAACAAGCCCTTTATAGTACATAATCTATATTTTGTGACCGGTGTAACATCAATTTAAAGTGACTTCTTCTTCTTCCTTTTTTTTTTTTTTTTTTTTTTTTTTTCGTTATGAAAATATTATTAACACAAAGACTATGCAATAATAATTAAAGCAAACTGAGGGAGAAAAAAAAAAAACACCCTTATTACATCATGTTAAAACAAAAATTAAGTAACTAACAAAAGCAAATGAATTTATCCTAGAAACAGATAAATTTCATATAATACCAAAACACACACACACACAAAAACTAATAACATAGTACAGAATTCAACTATTTGCCCCACTAACATAGTACAGAATTCAACTAGTATTTGTTAAGAGCCACATACACCAAATATACTATATCACCGCAACAAATAAACTTTCCTATCTATATCTTAAAACTATTTACTTTCAACTTTGTACTGGCCAATTGAATAACCTTGCCCAGTGAAGCCTCATGCAACTGATTTTGTATTGTACAAAAAAACATAAAAATAAAAAAATAAATTCAACACTTCTTTCCCAAATGAAATTAGGAACATAAAAAATAAAAAATACTAGTAAAAAAATAAAGTAAAATTTGTTATTCCTAATTCAAGAATTTGCAATATTTAGAAGTAAACTACTTCTTGAAGCTGGAAAAAATATAATAAGAAAACTAAATTTGTTCTCTAGTTCTTCTATATATATATATTGTTCTCTGGTTAGAAAATTTAAAGCATTTCCCCACTTTTTTTGAGTAAATACGAGTACATTCTTCGATTTCAAAAGCAGCAAAAGCAATTATAAATATTTGAAATTAACTGAAGCTGAAACCTTAACATAGATCAATCAATCGAACCTTGAGAAGCAAACATCGAAGGAGTCATCTATGAGCATTTGGCGGGAAGTTTCGGCCTGAGACTCGCCTTTCTGGGTGAGAACCGAGAAATCGGAGCTCCCTTGAATCCTACCTTCCTGGTTCCACGTGCTCTGCCCGTGCCTCACCAACACCACCCTCTTCGCCGACTTTATCGAAGGAAAAGGGGCCGAAGCGTAAGGCTTTGAACTCGACTCTCTCTCCTCCGACGACTCGTCCAGAGGTTTATCGATCTCTTGCAAGGTCGAAGATGATCGAACAGTGAATCGATCAGTCGGACGATTTGGTCGGACACAATTGGGGAAAAATCTAGGGTTTTTGAGAAGAAAAATATGGTCGTGGCCGACTAGAGTTGCTGTGACTGAAAACATTTGGAGGGGTGTGTGTTTTTCACCCACTGTGTTTTTTGTGATGTCTGTGCGTTTCGCGCTAAAACGGTCGGAGTTGGTTTATGGTTACTGTTGCTTCTAATTTCGAATAGTACTATCGATTTGTGAGGAGAGAAAAAAAAGATAGAATGACACGTGGTAATTGTTAGCAGATCACTTATCGACTAGACTCGCACGTGCTGTGAGGGACAAAGCATTTCGTGAGTTTGGATCCTATGTACTCTGTATGTTGTATACTGGCACTCTGCTATACGAATGTTATACTCTGGATGTACAGTATCGCACGAATGTTATACTCTGGATCGTATGCAATATCAGCCGTCCAATATCGGGTGTGCAGATAAACATATATATTTCATTCGTTTTTCCTTCCATAATTAATTAATTATTACACCTGTAACTTTTCGAACTTGTCTCAGATCACTTGCTTCTGTTTAGATGGTTGCTAGCCCCACAAATTCAGGATAAATGCACACGAAGAGCTTAAATGGATAGAATACTCTTATAATTTTCTCTAGAACAAAGATTTATGATCAATCAATTTAAAAAACACTTCACAACAAAGAGGTCCAAATGTCACAGTAATGCACAAAAGCATGGTTACCTAAGATACTAAAACAAGGCCAGGAATCTAACAATAGCTATTTGGTTCACCAAAACCTAAATTTAGACAAAACCGGAACAAAATTCTTTTGCCTCCACAGACAACAGGATTGCAATCTTGCTTGTTAGAATTACAGGCACAAAAATAAGCGGAAAAAAAGAACCGAGTACAACGCATTCCATAGTAACAACAATATCACTCCTCCATGCGATTTTCCTCCGACTGCTGTTGGGAAACCTTGACTTTGACCTTTGGTACAGTGAGAGATGGCTCTTGTTGGAGGGCCTCGGGCGCCTTGACCATGTGGATGCTCTGCTCCAACTCCTTTGCTGCCTCCTTCCGCTCCTTGCCTTTCTTTCCCTTCATCCTGCACAAAATTTTCAGCAAATGTTCAGTGGAGTTAGAAAAGGAAAACAGCTTATATTGCTCATTAATCCAGCTACCAACAAAGAAGAAGAAGAAAGAACCTCTTTGCATGGTGTCTGGCCTCCCTATCCACTCTGACTTTATCAATCTTCTTAATGGCCTTTAGTGTGTTCTCTGCAAGATTCCTGTCATACCTCTCTGGTCGATTTCTCTTCCTCTCAAACTCAAAGGTTGAGTCCTTGGAAACAGAAAGTGCAATAGATTATGACCACAGTTCACATGAGCCGTTGACAGTTGGGGAAACATGGGGAAAGATCATTATACAGAATTAGAGCTAGTTTCTTTACCTGTGTCATGTCCTTTCCATGCAACCGCCTGTAAGCCTTAGTCCACTTAACTTTGCGGGGGTTCCTCTTCATCTTAAAGTTCTTGTGGCATTTAGATCTACAAAATCGGAAAATCTGCATATAGAACAAACATCGAGGTCTTAAGCGAGATCTTAAGCAGAACATAAAACCCAAGGACTAATACAAATTGTACAATCAAATCAGAAACCAAGCAATGTACAGATTGATAGAGATCATCAACATCCTTGCCTTAAACCATGTGCATTGGGCCAGCCATATAGTTCCATAAAGATCAGGTCAGTCAATTGAAAACCTAAACACCTAAATCCTTGTCAGTTTTATTTGTGTGATATGCACAATTGCGTTTAGTTTCTTTGATCATGGCTTCAAGTTCGACATCATTTACTCAATCTAAGAAACAACAATTAACATTTTCTAAAATCACCGCAAGTAAACTGTAAACCTCAAACATGGATGGCTAATAATTGAGATGCTTGATTGTATCAGGTCCAATGAGATACAGGCTAGGATGTTTGTTAAGCTTCTAGATTCTTAATCAAGTCTCTAACTAATTAAACCAACAAGAACCTTAACTCAGGTGGATGAAAATTTTGAATTGCACTAAATCCGACTAAGGATCAGAAAAGTTTAGTGTAACATATAGATGAGTAAGACACTAGGAAAATATGTCAAATAGAATTACCTTTGCATCATTGCGAACAAATTGAATGCCATGTCCAGGATATACTGTAGAGGAACAGAACCAGCATTTCTCCAACCTCATTGTGCCTTTGTGTCAAGCCCCTATATCCTGCAAAACATAAAACGTATCAATATGCCATACAAACTGAGAAACAGAAGTATATGCTCATCAAAGGGAATGTATTAAGTTGTGAAGGATAACAAGTCCATCACTAAGAGTCCTGTGTTCACGTGCACATGAGCTAAAACAGCAATTCTTCTTAACAAGCTTCGAACCAATGATAGAAAGAAATTTTCCACACTTGTACTCTCAAAACAGAATAAGATTAGAAACAAGCTTAAAGTACTACTATCAATCCATCGAAAATTCAGAAAATTAAACCAGCACTAAATAGAAAATTAAAAAACCTATGCAAGTGTTGGAAGATACAAACGGATCAAAAAATGAAGTCTTTTTTTTTTTTTTTTTTTTTTTTTTTCAGACTAGAATTTCGAACTGTCAAAACAGAATAAGGTAGGAAAAAAGCTTAAAGTACAATCAATCCATCAAAAATTCCAAAATTAAACCAGCACTAAATGAAAATTAAAAAACCTATACAAGTGTTGTAATATACAAACGGATCCAAAAATGAAGCTTTTTTTTTCTTCTTCTAACAAACCAAGTACCCAAAAAAAAAAAAGGGGGCATCACAAGCTAAATGCAATAACTACAGTTACTATCATTATATTTCTATGCAAGTGTTGGAAGTACTATTACTATATATTGATATCAGAATAAGATAAGAAAAAAGCTTAAAGTACAATCAATCCATCAAAAATTCCAAAAATTAAACCAGCACTAAATGAAAATTTAAAACCTACAGTGTTGTAATATACAAATGGATCCAAAAAAGAAGCTTTTTTTTTCTTCTTCTAACAAACCAAGCACCCAAAAAAAAAAAAAAAAAATGCATCACGAGCATCAGCAAGCTAAAGGCAAGAACTATAATTTTGGGAGCACCAAATCGGCCCTTTTGAAATTAAATTTCCTCCAACTTTGAACTAAATTTTCTACAAGTTTCATCACCAAGAGCAACATAAGTTTATTCCGCATAAATTATCTTTCATTTGCAAAACACTATGGGTATGACCACTGCAAATCACTGAATGCAAAATTCGTCCGTTATGAAGCGCAAAACACTGCACAGATCTTTTCTGGCCAATCAACCCTATTGGGGCCTGATCCGACCTGATATTTACATCATTGTTCAAGACCACGATACCGTCAATTTACCTATTCAACCTTTTTCTGGGGTTTGGACCGATTGCGTAAAAGATAACACACTAAACACGCCCGTGAGAGTAGGGTTTAACTCAACCTCAACTCCCAATTTTTGATTTCTTGGACCAAAATAAAGAGAACAGTAATTAATTGAACACAGATATATATACATATACATATACATATACATATAAATAGAGAGAAAGAGCGACTTACTAGTGAAACCCTAGGTAGCGACCACGGCTGCAGAGCTTCCAGCTGAAACCTCGTGAGGGAGGCGTTGGACGCGGTATTATCAGAGGAATGGTTTTTACTTTAGTGGTCTGTTGGGCCGACTTGGTTCTGGATCATTGGAATTTTGGGCTAGATTTTTCTTAGCAGATTTAGCAGGCTCAACCCATCCACTTTTATTCCCAAGTTATGAGCCCACTTAAGTAATCAACTGTTCCTGAAAAAAAAAAACAAAAAATTAATTAACTATTTAGAACCGCATAAATAATAAGCACAAACTTTTATACAAGGATTAGTAACCTAGGGTTTGATTGTTTTGTAACTCTCAAAATAATTTTTTGTTTTCTGAAAACAGAAATTGTAAAAAAAAATTTACTTGGTTCAGTTTTTTGAAAACTTAGTTATAAAAATGTATGTTTTTAAAGAATTGTCTTTTATTGTTTTTTGAATTATTGATAATTGTTTTTAAAATTACAAATGAAACATATTCTTAGGAACACTTTAATATTGATATTCAAAATTCTTACAAAGTGGAGCTATACGATACCAGACACAAGATAGCTCTTTAAAAAAAAATAACGTTGAAGATATAATTTATAACAAATTTTTAAGAAGGTATTGTTTGGTATTATTATCACTTCTTACAGAGTGGAAGTATACGATACCAGACACAAGATTTTCAAAAAATAACAACGTTAAAGATATAATTTATAACAGACTTTTAAGAGGGTATTGTTTGGTATTATTATCACCTTTGCTTCTAAAAGATTCAAGTTCTAGATGAGGAAAGTGAGTGTAAGGTTATTTGTCAGAAGAAAGGTGATGGATTACTTCACTTCTTTTTTATGCTTTTTTTGTTGCCCTTTTTGATAGCATGTTAGGCAAACAGGTTAATATGACATTATCAAGAGTGTGTCCCCTACCTGTGCAAAGACCAAAAAAAGAAGACTCATTCATTTTGTGTGGTCTTAATGCTATGATTGGGTAACAAGCAAGTTTATATAATTTTGAAGTTTTCAGGAGTGAAACACAATATCTGTCAAATTTATGTTGAGATTCTCTGCTGAGTTGGTAACATGCCAGAGACGCGTGAGTTGTATTTTTCATTTATTAATTCAATTATCTATAAACAAAATTACAATTTTATTTATTAATACTTGTCACCCTAATTAATTTATTACCTTACCCTTTTACATTTAAAAGACAATTTTATAAGTGATGACTGATGAGTTGTTTAAGATAGGATCCAGCTTTAATGTCAATTACATTTAATTACATTCAATTACATTTACCATCTTTCAAGCAATAAAGACTAATTATATTATTTTCTTAATGAGGGGTAAAAATGGTATTATAAAATGTTTTGTTAAAACTTGTAGCCTTTTTTTTTATGTCCTTCAGGCGAATAAGAGGCTCAAACGGATATAAAATCTTCCATCCCAACCTAGTCCAACATGTCCAACAACACCATATAATCAAGCAAGCCTAATTCATTCTTTATTTTTTATAAAAAAAATTTAAACCATTGCAAGAATCATTTTATTTCTTTTATAACTTTGTTATTATTAAATATGGCAACATTACATTAAAAGTCAGTATTATTATAAAATTAATAATACAGGTATTTTATAAAATATTATTACCAAAAATACTTATTATAGATGTGTGAACAAAAACCTAACATATTTTTCATCCACGCTAATTATTTTTGACAGCTGCAAAACAAACTAACAACTCTTAGATAGCAAAGGGATTGACTTATTATATGTTGAGTGGGACCCAATTCGTCCATGCTCTTAAAATATAGCAAAGTGATTTTATCTCTCCAAATATTTATATTCCATTTATTTTTTTTCAAAGCTTTATCCAAAAAGTAAATATAGTGTATAAAAAATTCTCAATATATGATTATTACATCATCCGATTAATGAGGAGCGTAAAGAAACGCGGTTTCGACTCCAACAACACCGTTATCTTTTCGTTTTGGCCTCTCTCTCTTCCCCCCACTGGGCCCAAACACTCCCTCAACAGCCCTACTCTCAGTCTCTCACTCAACACTCACGCACACGTCTATTCTCTCCTCCCTCTCTCTCTCTCTCTCTACGCTGCATTCACACTCAGACCCTTACCCCCCTCTCTCTCTCTCACACACACACACACTTCTCTCTAAGTACAGCTTCTCCTGGGTTGTCCCTCTCTCTCTGTCTCTCAAATTTTACTGTAGGATCCCGAGAAACCCTAGACTTCCATAACTCCTAGTTCTCTCATTCACCATTTCTGGATAGCCCAACCAGATATACCGGATCTGCACACGTTTCTCCACATCACTTCCATAGTTCCATACAACGATGAAGTTCTAGAAAAATGGCGAGTTCCGACCCGAATAGGCGTCCCCGCCCCGGTCCATGGCCTCCCGCCCCGGAATCCACGACAATGCCACCATCTTCTTGGGCCAAGCGCACCGGTTTCCGCCCCAAATTTTCTGGCGAGACCAATGCGAGTGACTCCGGCCAGATCATGCCTCCACCCAAGCCCAAAGAGCCCGATGCTCGGGTGGATCTTGAATCGGGCCGACCTAGACCTGCTACGGCGGTGAATGGTGAGCGGGGGACTGAGAAATTGCCGCCAGTGCCGCCTGAGAAAGAGAAAGAGAAAGAGCAGACCGTGAAGCGGAGGAGGGATTCCGACGGAGGAGCGCCAAATAATTCATCCGTGAACGGGCAGGCTGCAACGGCTGAGCCGCCGCCGCCGCCGCCGAGTCGGAGGCCAGTGAGGAACGAGGAGGTTGTGGATGTGTTGCCTCAAACAGTTGATGATGATGGGTTTGTGTCTCGTCACTCGCATATGAAGTATGAGCTTAGAGATTCACCTGGTCTTGGTGAGCTTTATTTCATTACTAATATTGATATTCAGTTAAACAGATATTTTTTGAGTGATAAAGATCTCATTTTTATTCCAATACAGTCTCCATGATAACAAATTTGTAATCGTTTGTGAAATGTTTCAGTTCCCATTGGTATATATGGTTTTCAACATTATGTTTCGATGTTGGGTTCGTTGATTCTTATTCCACTAGTCATAGTTCCGGCAATGGGTGGCACTCATGTGAGCACTTGTAATCTATTTCTTATCTGATTTTTTATAAAGGCTTGTTCTTCTTACACCAGTTAGATGGTTGATCTGATGGAAATTGGTGGGTGTAGGAGGATACGTCTATGGTGGTCTCTACTGTGCTCTTTGTATCGGGAGTGACAACACTTCTGCATACATTCTTTGGCTCGAGGCTGCCCCTAATACAGGGTCCATCCTTCATTTTTCTTGCTCCCGCACTGGCAATAATCAATTCACCTGAGTTCCTGGGACTGAATGGAAATGTATGCTTCTATTCTCAATGTCTTTATTAGTTAATTATGTTAGTCAAAATTTGTATCTTTAATATATTTTGTGATCTTATGCATTCCTTCCCATATTAATTTAAGAATATTATTATTAAGTAAATGCAGACTTTTGACCTTTTCTTTTATTTGTTGGATTAGTTTGAGATTTGCAACTCAGTAATACAAATTTATGTGTTCATCTAAGCTGTTATATAATTATTCATAGTGTATCAAATGACAATATTAGATGCTAACTTCCTACTAATGGAGTGCCTCTCGTAGTCATATATATTGTTTGTTTGTTTGTGAGCTCCTCCTCTTATTTTCCTGAAAGGAGTCAGGAAAAAGCAAGTAGTAGAAGAAAGCCAAGAAAAAGAAGTACCATTCACTTATTGTTATTGAACAAAAACGTTGTATTGATTAAAGAATGCGTGCAGCGGTCAATACTACCAACAAAAATTTTGATCTATCAACAGTGCCGTATGGCAGTGTTCTGATTGGCCTCTTATGCCTCCGTGTTCAGGGTTGAGCTTAAGCTTTAGATTCGCAAGGAGGGGGTAAGACTTACATGCCCGCCCCCCAACCCACACCCCCCCCCCCCCCCCCCCCCCCCCGGCGGGGCCCGACTTGGTTTTTGCCCCCTGTAACATTTTTTTAAATCTTATTAACATATTTTTTTATAAGTAAGAAATCTTATTGACATTATTACTAGCTAGTCATGTTTTCTTTTAAATATTACCCATTGCCTTACAAATGGACCCATTGGCTTTTGATATTTGTTTGAAGAAGGTCTTGGAACATGCAACTTAATAACTAATCGCCTTTCATAATTGATGGCAGGTTTCATGTGTATCCGTTTCTTCTTTGCAGTTTCTTTACATGAATCTATGGTGTTGTGACCTTCCATGTATGTCCTGTACATGTGGAGAAAGTTGCAGTTGATACTAACAACGGAAGTATTATGCCATTGCACAGAAGAATAGGCTGGAAGTAGGGTTAGGAATTTTACATGAAATCATTTGAAAAATAATAAGAAAAATATTTCCATAGTTGATTTTATAGGTTGTTGGAGCTTATAGACAATGAATATAGAAGATTAATGGGTGTCAATCAAGATAACATGTTTAGGTGTCTCACCTATTTATATGAAAGAAACTGCTGCTAAGTTTAACTGTTTAAGTAGTCTGTTACAGTTATTTATTTATTATTATTATTATTTTTCCCCTCTTTCTCTTCTTTTCTTTTCTTTCTTTTTTTGGGGGGTGAACTTTCACAAGACTTGTGAAGAATTATTTTACATTGCAGAATTTCAAGCATATTATGAAGCAGCTTCAGGGAGCTATAATCATATCGTCAGCTTTTCAAGCAATACTGGGATACAGTGGATTGATGACAGTATTCTTGAGGTATGGATGTCTTCATGTTCCATGATTTCTGTGTATGAGGATTTATTTCTTTTACATTGCATGCTTTTGTTCCATTTTCCTAGTGGAAGCTAAATGGATTTATGAACCACATTGTTGCTTAATGTTTGCGGATGAGCTGATTGGATAAAAATGTTGGACTCAATTTTTTGTTGGTGCTTGCATTAAGAAACCTTGCACACTCATTGTTACGCAGTGGTTGCCTAGTGGAGGCAAATTCTCCCACTCAACTTTTTATAATTTGATTTTCTAGTAATTGTAAACATGCCCCCTTTCAAAATTGCAAAAATATCCTTCGTCTTAATTTTCTATGGCTTGTGTTTATGGTCTACATTTTTTTCTTCTCTAAACTAGGCTTTGGATAATTTGTGTTTGTAACTTTGATCTATATAAACCGTCTCTCGAAGACTAACCAAATAAGAATTACTATGAAAACTATATGATAAACACTAAAACAATCATTCCAAAAATTTTGAGGACATGCTAATCAACACCTACATATTTGACTTTACAAATTAAACACTTAAATGCTTGACTTCATTAATGAAACCCTTAAATACTTGACTTCATTAATGAAACCCTTAAATACTTGACCTTCGAGTTCCTATAATCAAATGAGTCACAATCCAACTGTGATTTCACAAATTGAACAAAAACCAGATTGACAAATTGAATGCTTAGCCATGACAAATAAATGTGTCCGTAATGTATTGGATATATCAATCAATATTTAAATGTTTAAATTTATTGTTTGGTTAACAAAAAAATTATCTTATTTGATATTTTAAGGTTGCTGCCTCCACTAGAAAAAATCCTAGCTCCGCTACTGTTGTTGCATCATCATCATCACCCTTGCCTTTATCCTATACAAACAGGGTCGGCCACATGAATTCTCCTTTTCCACTCTTTTCTATCATAAGCCATATCTCCTACTAGTTTACCGATGTTACATAAATAGTTTTAATCATATAATAGAAAATGAAGGAATCTGGAAACTTAGTAATTCTAGGTGGAATTTATACAATATAATTAATATAACCTTGCTACAACCCCTTGATTCTGGGATAAAATATCCTATGCATTTGCAAAAAAATAAAAAAAAAAATCAGGTGTTATATTTGACATCTAAATTGGGGTCATCCCTATGATGACTTTCCTGAATCTTTGTGCATCCATTGTCGGGATAAGACGTTTTCATAGTTCAGAATATGACCTATTTGAGATGGATTGATGGTTAGTTTTGTTGGGTTAACATGGAGTTCGTCTAGATTTTGGGTTACAACTACATCTAGTATAATATATATGCTTCACTTGCATGTCTTTGTTTAGTTTGGTTGGGTTAACATGGAGTGCATTTAGATTTGGGGTTGCAACTACATCTAGTATAATATATGCTTTACTTGCATGTCTTGAATGATCAAATTCTACGTGGTTCAAATAGTGCAGAGTTAACATTGAATTCAACTATATATTATTGGGATTCTGAAACTGTTCAATTGATGAGTTCACAAGTATTTTCATTTCTTTTTCATGCAATTTTTTTAGGTCTTATGGGTATTGAGACTAGGATTGACTTGTTCAGCTTAAGGTTGAAGCAGAATATTTAAGTTCAATCTTAATTTTAACTTGGTCAATTTTGAATTTTGTTCACTTCAACGATTCAGATAACTTTGTGTTTTTGGTCATTTGAGTCCAATTATATATATATATATATGTGTGTGTGTGTGTGTGTGTGTGTGTGTGTGTGTGTGTGTATGGCAAATGATGGATGAATCCTAAACCTCGTTGTTCTATTTCTATGATGTGAATCCTCAACCCTAACAACCGAGGTGCCATAGGGTTAACCCCATACTACTTGACGACAGGGGTCATCATACTCTTTCAAAAAGTTGAATAGGTTATTCATGTTGGGCTGGCTAGTTCACCTTGATTGGTTGCATCAGGTTTGAAATTTGATATAATGCATTAACTTGGCCAACTTCGGACTTGAACTTGTTGGTTGACCTAGTTCAGATAACAATTCACGAATAAATTTGGATTAGTAAGTTGGGTTGATTGAGTGATTATGATTGGGTAAGTAGAATCGTCTATTTTGATTTATTGATTTTTGTGTATAAGAATTAAGAAGTAGCTGCAAACCATTTATTTTAGGGTATCAATTATTTTGATGTAAATTGATTGTTTTTTCATGTGTAGATTTACCTATTATGCATCTATGATGAAAGACCTATTATTTTAGTTTTAAAGTTTATTGTGTTGGAAGTTTAATAGATGGGTAAGAGTTGGTGATAATGGAATTTGAAAAAAATCAGTGGAAAATTTATTTCGGTAGCAATCAAATGGGTATTTGGTTTGATAGGTAAAAGTTTATTGGGAATGATGAGGGTTAGGGTAATTTCAGTAAGGCATTTAATTGAACACAAATATAATATTTTTCATCAAAATGGTAAATCCTCTCCTGTAAGGAAAAGAAATTTGGACTCAAAAACATAGAAAGCTTCAATAGATGGCCTGGGTCTACTTCTGCTCGGACTGAAATTTTCTCTGAGCTGTTCTGTCGATTGAATTGATATAATACCCATGTATAAATACATATATATAAAGGGGTATTTTATTTTCTTCGGATTCTGGTTGGATCAAGACTACAAATCTAGAAAGTTTGACCTTCAGAATCAATCTAATTACTCCAAAGTTTTAACAGAGAAAATCCATGGGCCTGTCTCATAGCCTAGACCAATTTAAGTATATAAATTTGCAAATACCTATGTACCAGCTGCATACAGCCTAAGATTCACCTCATTGCTTGGTTTACCTTTTGGGGTGTGTTATGCTGGGATTCTCGTGGTCCAAAAGTCTATTTGGTGGTGGCATGGAGTACTTTATGCTGAATATGTTGGTACTACTGAAATTTTGCTTTGTATACCTTTGTTGTCCTCTAGTCTTTCACCTCTTTTAACCATAGAATCACTTGTGTGGTAGAAGAAAATCCTAGAACGAGTAACAGTAGGAAAAGATTTACTCAACACTTATTTGATTTTTCCTTGGTTTAATAGATTTTTTCATTCTGAAAAATGCTTATAATTATTAGTTAGTACAATTGGTTTTTTGAAGATGGATGTACTTCTTGTACTATTGAAGCTCATTTTGGTTGCTAATTCAAGCTTATATTCCAAGATGGAATCTCCTCCTCCTCTTCCTCTTCATTTTGCTGGTCTATCCTGGAATCCTTACTTACAATCCAGGTTCCTTTTGGACTTTTAATGATGTTAAGTTACAGGGGACCCTTACATCGTTTATGTTAAATTTTAGGCACAGAAACACATAAAATATATTTTTAAATATGATTGAGTATTGTCCCTGCTTCCTGTATGCAACCGATATTACATACTAGTAGTGTATAGCCACAGCATATTGTTGTTCACAAAATTAACTTGCCCTTTTGTTGTCCAATTACTACACATTTGCTTCCATTTGAAGCTTTAATATGTTGGTTACCTTGTTTGGATGTATAACTGGCACAATACCAATCCTCAGACTATTCTCCCTTCCTTTTCAGGTTGATTAATCCAGTTGTTGTAGCCCCAACCATTGCTGCTGTGGGACTTTCTTTCTACAGTTACGGTTTCCCACAAGTTGGTGCGTGTCTTGAGATTGGTGCAGTACAGATTTTACTGGTTATTATTTTTTCTCTTGTAAGTGCAGCAAAAGCTACCTTCAATCTCTTTCTCCTTACAGGTGTTTTCTTTCCCATTTAATGTGATAATGGTATCTCTGTTATGGTGTTGTTGCTGCTTGAAAATGTAATAACATGTCGTTTCCTTTGTGAATGGATTATATGCCACTTGTTTATGACATTTGTTTCAATTTTCCTGCAGTACCTTCGTAAAATTTCTGTTTTCGGTTATCGCGTGTTTCTGATATACGCAGTAAGTTTTCATATTTATATTTCTATCTTCTGCTTATCACTATTTGTTTTTCAGTATTTATTTTATTAATGTATTGCATAAAGCTTTTGTGAACATAATTTTGTCATTTTTTTAATTCAGGTTCCATTGAGTCTAGCAATCACATGGGCTGCTGCTTTTCTTCTGACCGAAGCAGGAGCCTACAGTTACAAAGGCTGTGATGTAAATGTACCAGCGTCAAATATAATATCCGACCACTGCAGAAGTCATATTACCAGGATGAAGCATTGTCGAGTTGATACTTCTCATGCGTTAAAATCGTCCCCGTGGTTTAGATTTCCTTATCCATTACAATGGGGCACACCTGTCTTCCAATGGAAAATGGCTCTTGTGATGTGTGTGGTGTCCTTAATCTCATCAGTGGATTCTGTGAGTTCCCTGTCATTTTTACAAAGTCACGAGTAACCTGAATGTTGCATGAACATGGATACATGGGATAGATTTGATGTAATATCAATGTGTTAGTGTAGCAAAATCTTAAAAGAATTGGATACGAACACAGCAGGGATGAGGAGAATTCTCTCCGTTTGCATATTTGTATGTGTGAGTCATAGCATTCCCAATGATAAGAATGGAAGGCATAATTTTCTATTCCAGTTGGCAGCAGCCTTATCAGAAAAAAATATACCAGAAAATTTCAGTTTCAGTCACATTTTGTTGTGTAAATCTTCTTATTTGTCTATTAAGTAATGTTGAATAATAGTCAATTACTTATTGTTTTGTTTTTGCACTTCTTAGGTTGGCTCCTACCATGCATCATCATTGTTAGTGGCATCCAGGCCTCCAACTCCAGGTGTTTTAAGTCGAGGAATTGGTCTTGAAGGTCTTTCCAGTGTATTGGCAGGTCTCTGGGGGACTGGAACTGGGTCTACGACTCTGACTGAAAATGTCCACACGATTGCTGTGACTAAAATGGGAAGCCGCAGAGCAATAGAGTTGGGCGCAGGCATTTTGATTGTCTTGTCCCTTGTAGGTATGTGTATTGAATTCAAATTTTTTTTAGTCAGTACATAACCACTGAAAAATGGAATTTTTTGCCACTACCTACGACAGCTAAGCATATTGACATATCCAATACAAGACCAAAAAAAAAAATATAGAAATTTGTTATGTGTAACGTTACATATTGATCGATCATAATGGAAGTTTCTGTTCTTGGGGTATGCTTGAAAGAGAGTTCCTTTGATGTTTAGTTTCCACTGAATTTCTATATGCCAATTTGTGACTTTCTTTAGATTTACTCAAGTTCCTACACTTATTGTCAAACTGTTTCCTATCTAGTACTGGTTCCTTTATTTATTAATGTATTATATAGTAATCAAGAAAGTGCATCCAATGACATCGAACACTTCGGAAATTAAATATATAAGCTAAGAAGCACGGACACGGATACGGGACACGGATACGACACGACACGGACACAGCGACACGGCAAATCCAAAAAAATTAGGACACGGACACGGCAAATAGTATATATATATATATATATATATATCAGCATTAATAATTTAAAAAAAAAAACACTGATATGTTTAGGTTGGAATATATATATATATATCACTGATATGTTAGTATATATATATATCAGCATCTTTAGGACACGGACACGGCGAATTGTGGCATCTTTAGGTTAGTATATATATATATCACCATCTTTAGGGTAGTACAAAACAAAAAATAGAACATATCAGCATTAAAAATTAAAAAAAAAAAAAAAAAAATTAACATATCAGCATTAAAAATTTAAAAAAAAAATCCAGAAAAGTGTGTCCGAGCCGTGTCCGAGCTGTCCGAGCCGTGTCTGTGCCGTGTCCAAGCCGTGTCCGAGCCGTGTCCAAGCCGTGTCCAAGCCGTGTCCGAAAATAAAAAAAAATAAAAAAATTCCAGACACTTTTTTTGGCGTGTCCGACACGTGTCGGGGCGTGTCCGTGTCCGACACGTGTCGGACACGGATTCTTCGTCCATTTTGGAGTGTCCGTGCTTCTTAGTATATAAGAAAGTAGCTTTACTTATATTACAAATCGAATTGTCAACTACTCATTTTAGTGTTTCTGATACGACTATTACGAAAGGTCATACTGTTGCATTGATTGATGATGGCAGAACTATATAATATTGTAAAATATGAGCTTTCCAGTGTACTAAGAAGCACGGACACTCCAAAATGGACGAAGAATCCGTGTCCGACACGTGTCGGACACGCCCCGACACGCGTCGGACACGCCCCGACACGTGTCGGACACGCCAAAAAACGTGTCTGGAATTTTTTTATTTTTTTTTATTTTCGGACACGGCTCGGACACGGCTCGGACAGCTCGGACACGGCTCGGACACACTTTTCTGGATTTTTTTTTAAAATTTTTAATGCTGATATGTTAATTTTTTTTTTTTATTTTTAATTTTTAATGCTGATATGTTCTATTTTTTGTTTTGTACTACCCTAAAGATGGTGATATATATATATACTAACCTAAAGATGCCACAATTCGCCGTGTCCGTGTCCTAAAGATGCTGATATATATATATACTAACATATCAGTGATATATATATATATTCCAACCTAAACATATCAGTGTTTTTTTTTTTAATTAATAATGCTGATATATATATATATATATACTATTTGCCGTGTCCGTGTCCTAATTTTTTTGGATTTGCCGTGTCGCTGTGTCCGTGTCGTGTCGTATCCGTGTCCCGTGTCCGTGCTTCTTAGCCAGTGTATCAATGGAGTAATTAAGTAATTTGACTTGAGTCATGTAGTTGCATGTGTTAAAATATGTGCTGGTTGGTGTTTTCTAGAATTGAAGGATGTTATTTCTTGGATAACAAGCACTGATGCCATGAGTGATGGTGTATAGAGTTGAGGTGTTTATTTATTTTTATTTTATTTTATTTATGTCACATTTGATAGATGGACAAGTTTACATGTCTTCACTACTGCATCCACTTTCCCAGAATATTGCTTTCCAATTGTAATATCCCATATATGCTATATGCTGACAGGTAAAGTTGGAGGGTTTATTGCTTCAATTCCTCAAGTCATGGTTGCAGCTCTGCTGTGCTTTATGTGGGCGATGCTTGCAGCATTGGGCTTGTCAAACCTACGTTATAGTGAAGCAGGAAGCTCCAGAAATATTATCATAGTTGGGTTGTCTTTGTTTTTCTCTCTTTCAGTACCGGCTTACTTTCAGCAGTATGGCATCTCTCCAAATAGCAACTTGTCCGTGCCAAGTTATTTTCAGCCATACATTGTGGCTTCTCATGGTCCTATCCATACCAACTATGGAGGAGTATGTATTCCTCGACTTTTAGTAATCAGGAGCATCATCAGTTTGTTGCTTTAGTCCATTTAAACAATTTGACTTGACTTTAGAATATTCACCTCAAAATCATTTAATTATTTGCTTTTGCAGCTTAACTATGTCATGAACACATTGCTATCGCTTCACATGGTGATTGCATTCCTAGTAGCTGTAATCCTGGACAATACTGTACCAGGCAGTCAGCAGGAACGTGGGGTGTATGTGTGGTCTGACCCCGAGGCTGCAAGAAGGGAGCCTTCTGTTGCTAAAGACTACGGGTTGCCTTTCAGAGTTGGTCGGGTTTTCAGATGGGTGAAATGGGTTGGGCTTTGAGAGATGAGGTCTTTAGCTGTTGTGCCAAACTACTTCAAATTCTCAAACTCATCAAATGCCATTTCTGGGGGAGAAGATAAACGTGTGCTGTGATTCTAAATTAAGTCCCATAGGGTGCATATAGTTAAATGGCAGTCTGTGAACTGTTTTTTGCTTACACGGTGGGGCATCTTGGGACTATAGATCTTGTAGAGATGAGTTATCTGTGTACATTGGAGGATCCAGTGTGATCTACTTTGTGTTGTAATCTTAATTTGTAAACCTTGTATGTAATCTCGAGTCATTGGAATGTCAAGACGGACTTTTTTTTTTTTTCCTTCCTTGCACGACAGCAAGCTTTTAGAATCCACATTTTTTACCCGAGTCGTATGGAAGTGTTTGATTGTTCAGTATTAGCATGGTCAAAGTAGAAGCTTCACAGGGAAGTTTGGATTATTAATGAAAATGTCATAGTTAATATTATGGAGACATGGTCCTTCTGGTGGAATGATGTATTTTATTGTTGTAGACTTGATTGAAATCCCGAAACAGTTTGATTTTTATGTGTTTGTGTGTGTGTGTGTGTGTATATATATATATATAGTAATAAATAATTTACTTTGTGGTTCAAAGTTTATAATTTTTGTGGGGTGCTCCCTCTCAGCTCTCCAGCGGATGCCGCAGAAATTTTCGTACTGATTTTGGTGTTTTAAAATTTAAAATAAACATGTTTCATTTTATCATTGTGCAAAAGCAGTAGTAACTCACTGCAAGTATTGTTTAAAAATAATGTTTTAATCACTTCTCCATCTGGTGCAAGTATTGTTTAAAAATAATGTTTTAATCAACATCTGGATTTAGGTAAGAGAATGTCACAGCGATGTTGTCCCGGATTACAGTTACTCTTCGGATGAATTACTGAACAATTCATTATCAGGACTCAACATAAGAATTAAAAAGAAAATTCAAATTGATTTGAATAACATCGTCTCACATACATTTTGAACATATTATCAGTTTGGTTATATATATATAATAAATGGCATGTGAACCGGTTGTTTTCTTCGTTTTGCCGACTATAATCTTGCCATGCCAGAGCGGTTATAATTGTTCTCATCTGCTGCGATACTTCTTATCTGTAAAACTCATATACCAAATTGAATATGAGAGTGTGTGTGTGAGAGAGAGAGAGAGAAAGAGGAGAGGAGAGAGAGTACCGATACCTGTGTAACGTGTCAAATCAACATATGATGATAATAGAACAAGAGGTCGAAGCAGCTCTGCTTGTCATTGAGGAAGTTGTAGTATATACTGTAATATGTTTAAGCATGATATAAATATAGACAAATTGTAAATTTAGCTAAAAATGAAAGATCAATGCTCAAGTCTACATGCCATAATGTTAAAAATCAATGCCCAATTCTACACGCTTGATTTGAAATGAAGGTGCTTTGAAATTCTCAATTAATGTGGTTTTTTTTTTTTTTTTTTTTTTTTGCAATGGTGCCTACATATTCTAAATTTTTGGTTCAAAATATAGCGGTCCACTTTTGTCAAAAGTAAATCTGAAAATCTGATTTTACATTTTTTTTTTTTTTTTTTGTTTCTTGCCCAACGCTTTTTTTTTTGTTCCATTTAAACATTAAAATGTAACTTTTATATATATAATTGATGAGAAAATTTCAAATTTTATTAAATGATGACTATTAAATGATAGTTATATTAATGATTTTATTTAGATTCATAATATTAAAAAAAAAAAAAATTGAATAATTTTTTTTTTTATATATAAAAATATATATAGTTTTTCACCTTACAAAATATATAATTTTCTTGTCCCAAACAAATAAACAAACAAATTACAAGTATTTATAAAATACAAGGTTGATTTTACTTTTGTCCCAAACAAATAAACTATTATACAAATTGGATAAAATGGTCATTTTACATGGCCTATACTTATACTTATTAAATTATTCTACTGAAATGACTTTATTATTGTAATTTTAAGTTTTCAAGGACTATTTGCACCAAATCAATAATATATTAGTATTTTAGACTACACAGAGACTATTTTAAACTATATCAATAATAGAGGGACTTTTTTTGCACTTAATCCAAATTCTAAATTTTTGCCTCAAACAAAAAGGTTCTTATTGAAGAATGAATCGAGATCAAATCCAACTTTTAATAAAAATATTAAGACCGGCACTCATAATTATCAATTAATTTCTCAGAATGGTAAAGAGGGTTAATTTTTCTCTTCCGATTCATCAAGTTCAAGCAATCCACTTTGATTAGATGGAAAATGAATGAAGAAAAACTATATAGTCTCATATTGAATCCGAAATTTTGTTTCTTCCTAAATTTTTTGTTACTTTACAATATATAAAAGGATTTTGATATGCATGTTAAACATTCTCTTTCAAATAAGAATGATGGTGTCCACAGAAACCATAATGATCCAAATCATGAGCAAGCAACATATGATGACAACAGAACAAGAGGTCGAAGAAGCTCTGCTTGTCATTTTAGTAATTTCTTTTATTTTTTTTTATATGACTCCAACAAAGAAGTAAACTGAGGTATCATGCTTAAACATATTATGGTGTGTGTGTATATATACACACGGTAATACGCTTAAGCTTATATAAGTTGAAAGCATTATTCTGATTGACTACTACAAATTTAGTCAAAAACAAAAGACCAACGCTCAAGTCTACACGCGCACACAGTAATACGTTTAAACTTATATAAGTTGTAAAAATTATTATGACTGACTATTACAAATTTAGTCAAAAACAAAAGACCAACGCTCAAGTCTACAAGTAATAATATTAAAGATCAATGTCCAATTCTACACGTCATATCGTTGATTTGAAATAAAGGTGCTTTGAAATATTCTGGATTGATATCAATTAATGCTTTTTTAAAAATTATGTGTGTTTGAGATATTAAAGCAATGGTGCCTACATATTCTAAATTTTTGGTTCATAATATTCAAAATAAAGTGGACCACTTTTGTCAATTTAAACATTAAAATGTAACTTATATATATATATAATTGATGAGAAAATTTTAAATTTTATTAAATGATGACTATTAGATGCTCGTTATATTAATGATTGCATTTAGATTCATAATATGTTTTAAAAATTGAATAAAAATTATTTTTTATATATATAAAAATATATATAGTTTTTCAGCTTCACAAAATATATCATTTTCTTGTCCCAAACAAATAAACAAACAAATTACAAGTATTTATAAAACACAAGGTTTATTTTATTTTTGTCCCAAACAAACAAACTTCTATATAAATTGGATAAAATGGTCATTTTACATGACCTATACAGAGACTATCTTGCACTATATCAATAATAGATTGCACTTAACCCAAATTCTAAATTTTTGTCTTAGAAAAAAAGTTCTTATTGAAGAATGGAGCGATATCAAAACCAACTTTTAATAAAAATACTAAGACCGGCACTCATAATTATCAATTAATTTCTCAAAGTGATAAAGAGAGTTACTTTTTATCTTCGATTCATCAATATCAAGCAATCCACTTTGATTTGATGAAATGAATGAAGAAAAACTACATAATCTCATATTGAATCTGAAATTTTGATTCTTCCTAAATTTTTTGTTACTTTATAATATATGAAAGGATTTTGGAATGCATATTAAACATTCTCCTTCTCATTTTGAGTTTCAAATTTTCGAACTTTTTTCTCTTTCTCCCTTTGAGTTTCTGGTTTTCAAACATATACACATATAAAGAGAGTAGAGATTTGTTAGTAGGCTTTACCATTTTAAAGCTTAATTTTTTTCTTTTATATGTTACATATAGGATTTTCAAGCTTTCTATTTTCTTCTTTCAACTCTCCAGTTATTCAAATTGCAAAACTTTTCTTTCAGTTTTATATTTTGTATAGTTGAACATAAAATATGTAAAAGTTTTAGAGTCCGTTTGTTTGGTTGGACGTAAAATATTTTTCAAAAAATAATTTTTTATTTTTGGGTGTTTGGTTGTGGTAAAATATTTACGAAAAAAAAATATATTAAAATTTAACAAAAATAATTTATCCATAAAATTTTGGCAAGTTATTTTATATGCCTCGTCTGATGGACTCGACCTCAATCTCGACGTAAACCTTTGCCAAACACCGACAAAGTAAAAATAAAAGAATATTTTACTTAAAAAAAATATATTTTTTAAAAAGAATATTTTATATTGAAATAAAATGAGGACATGTCATTCAAATATTGTGCACATAAGTGGTGAGAAGTAGGTTTTTATCCACCATTGCGTAGGCAAGTATTATTCAAAAAAAAAAAAAGTATTAATCAGTTCTCTATCTATATAGACGCAAAACATTTTTCATATTTACCGGTGGTAAACGCAAAACATTTTTCATATATTTCAGTGTTAGGGTAAAAGGATACGAGCAGGGTGGTTAACTGCAACTAGAACGTCTTAATTCAGGTTGAGAGAGAATGTCACGGTGATATTGTCCCACATTCAAGATTACAATAAGACTCTTCGAATGAATTACTCAACAATTTATTATCATAAATTAAGGAAAATTCAATTTGAGTTGAATAACACAGAGTTAATACAAGCTCTCACATATTAATAAATGGGTCGTACATTTTTTTTACAAATCACTAATATTCTCACCACAAACATGTGGAATCAGGTGTTTTGTTTGTATTGATGACCACACATCTATGGTTTAGCCCTGTAAGGCTCCTCCACTGCGTCTATGAGAACGTGCTGAGATATCTGTATCTGCAAAACTCATATAACAAAATGAATATGAGAGAGAAAGTATGACTGTGTGTGTATGTGCGTGAGAGACAGAGGAGAGACTACTTAAGGAATACATTAGAGAGTGAAGCTGAAATCATGATAATCCAAATCATGAACAAGCAGTACATGATGATAATAGAAGATGAGGTGGAAGAAGCTTTGCTTGTCATTTAATTTTTTTTAGATGGCTCCAATGAGGAATATATACAATGTACGGCTTATTTCTGCAAGTGGCCGATCACTGTAGAAAGAATTTCCAAATCTGAATGGAAAAAAAGGAAGGAAGAAACAAATGGGACGTGTAGAAAAAGGCAGAATATGGTGGGGTTCATAGGCGTAAGCATCACCCGGACTGACCACCAAAAATAAAAGACCAGTGACCAAGTCTACACGCCATAATCTTGAAGACCAATGCCTGAGTCTACACGCCATAATCTTGAAGACCAATGCCTGAGTCTACACGCCATAATCTTGAAGACCAATGCCTGAGTCTACACGTCCAAAACTAATATTTATTGCCA